CTACACGACCCCACCATGGACAGACATGCATGGCCACATGGACAGACATGACAGGATCAGTGAAGGAAGCCTGGCACAGAAGGCAGCAGGCTCCTCTCCCACGAAACGTCCGCGACAGGAGGCAGAGCGGTGCGGCCAGGACTGAGGGGCTGGGGTCCCAGTGGGCTCAGGGCTCCTCCTGGTGGGAGTGGAGGTCCAGGAGCCGGAAGGCACCCAGCAGCTGAGTAGTCCCTGTGGCGACTGTGAACCCTGCACACCGGGCGGCTCAATCTAGAAAAACCTCCCGCCCATCCCTCTGCCCTCGGATGCGGTTCTGGTGGTCACGCCGGAGCCAGCCATGCCTGTACACGCCCTCAGTCCAGCTCAGGTAAGCGAAGCACAGGAAGGCATGGCAGAGCCGTGGTTCCCCCCCATGACTTCACTCCTGCCTGTCCACACCACCACGTGAGCAATCCCATGAGTTCCCACCATCCTGAGTTTCCCCTGGCAAAAATAAGCAGGTATGTGAACTACTTCTTTATCAAAAAGATTTATGTTTATTTCCTTTACTTGAAAGCCAGATTAGAGGGAGGTGAAGAGACGGCTCGTGTCCGCTGCTTCAGTCCCAAAATGGCCGCAATGGGCTGGGCAGGAGCAGGAGCCAGGAGCTCCCTCCGGGCCCCCCACGTGGGGTGCAGGGATGGACCCCCTGGGCTGTCTTCCAGGGCTTCCCCCAGGCCACCAGCAGGCAGCGGGAATAGAAGTGGGGCAGCCGTCCTCGATCCAGCACCCACGCGGGATGCCGGGGCCACGGGCGGCTTCACCCACTGCACCAAGCGCCGGGCCCCTCTGCAAACTCCTGGACCTCTGGTGCAAACTGTGATTTCCTCACAGAGCACCCAGCACGAGTCTCCAACACACAGAGAACATGCCAGCGTCCACCCCACGGCACCACCCACACCTGAGCTGGGGATCACACAGCATCCCAGCGTCCACCCACAGTACCACCCACACCTGAGCTGGAGAAAAGAGCATCCCAGTGTCCACCCCACGGCACCACCCACACCTGAGTTGGGGATCACACAGCATCCCAACGTCCACCCACACTACCACCCACACCTGAACTGGTGGACACAGCATCCCAGTATCCAGCACACAGCCCCACCCAACCTGAGCTGGGGGACACAGCATCCCAGTGTCCACCCACGACACCACCCACACCTGAGCTGGGGGACACAGCCTCCCAGTGTCCACCCACGTCACCACCCTCACCTGATCTGGACACAGGAAATCCCAGCGTCCACCCACAAAACCACCCACACCTGATCTGGAGAACAGAGCATGCCAGTGTCCACCCACAGTACCACCTACACCTAGGCTGGGGGACACAGCATCCCAGTGTCCACCCACACAACCACGCACACCTGAGCTGAGGGACACAGCATCCCAGTGTCCAGCCCATGGCACCACCCACACCTGAGCTGGGGCACACAGCACCCCAGTGTCCACCAACGGCAGGTCAAGGTCAGGCTGTGAGGGGCAGGAAGGCCACAGAGGTCACTGTGGAAGCTCCAGACAGAGAAGCTGCCCCAACAGGTCTCAAGTCTAAGTAACCGCTCCTGGGGCCAGCACCAGGTGGCATAGTGGGCAAATCCGCCACCTACAGTCCCAGCACCCATCTGGGCACGAGCTCAAGTCCCGGCCACCCCACCTACGATCCGGCTCCTGGCTACAGCCCGGGAAAGCAGCGGAAGATGGCCCAAGTCCTTGGGCCCCTGCACCCGCACAGGAGACCCGGAGGAAGCCCCCAGCCCCTGGCCTCAGATCAGCCCAGCTCCAGCTATTGTGGCCAACCAGGGAGTGAACCAGCGGATGAAGACTTCTCTCTCTCTCTCTTTAACTCTTCCAACAACAAAAAAATAGATAAATAGCTCCATGGGCCAGTGTTGGGCGCAGCAGTGAGGCTGCCACCTGTGCGTCCTTAATCCTGTGGGACACTGGTTCAGGTCCCGGCTACTCCACCTCTGCTCCAGCTCCCTGCTGATGGCCCGGGAAAGCACCGGAAGATGCCCAAGAGCTGGGGCCCCTGCACCCACATGGAGAGCTGAATGAAACTCCTGGCTTTGGCCTGGCCCAGCCCCAGCTGCCGGGGACATCAGGAGAGTGAACCAGTGGATGGAAGCTCTCTCTGTTTGTCTCTCCCTCTCTGAAACGCTTCCAAATAACACAATAAATCTTTTTTTTCAGACAGAGTTAGGCAGAGACAGAGAGAGAGACAGAGAGAAAGGTCTTCCTTTTCTATTGGTTCACCCCCCAAATGGCTGCTACCAAAGGCTCCCTGTGCCGATCCGAAGCCAGGAGTCAGGTGCCTCTCCTGGTCTCCCATGTGGGTGCAGGGCCCAAGCACCTGGGCCATCCTCCACTGCACTCCTGGCACACAGCAGAGAGCTGGCCTGGAAGAGGGACAACCGGGACAGAATCTGGCGCCCTAACTGGGACTAGAACCCAGGGTGCCGGCGCCACAGGTGGAGGTTTAGCCTAGTGAGCCACGGCACCGGCCCACGATAAATCTTAAAAGAAAAAAGGAAACAGACCAGGCGTCTCTCCAGTGCCATAAGACTTCCTGCAGGCATCAGGAGAGGGCGTAACAGACAAGTGCAGGGGGCAGTGGTGAGCTTGGGGCACGGAGGCGGTGGTGTCGTGAGAGCACAGTGCTGGGGGCCGTGGTGAGCTGGGGGCCGTGTTGGAGCACAGTGCTAGGGGCCGTGGTGGAGTACAGTGCTGGGGGCAGTGGTGAGCTGGGGGCCGTGGTGGAGCACAGTGCTGGGGGCTGTGGTGAGCTAGGGGCTATGGTGGAGCACAGTGCTGGGGCCATGGTGGAGCACAGTGCTGGGGCCATGATGGAGCACAGTGCTGGGGGCCGTGAAGGAGTACAGTGCTGGGGGCCATGGTGAGCTGGGGGCTGTGGTGGAGCAGAGTGCGGGGACAATGGTGAGCTGGGGGCCATGGTGTCCTGAGAGCACAGTTCTGGGGGCCGTGGTGAGCTGGGGGCCATGGTGGAGCACAGTGCGGGGGAAGTGGTGAGCTGGGGGCCATGGGGGAGCACAGTGCGGGGGCAGTGGTGAGCTGGGGGACATGGTGGAGCACAGAGCAGAAGGCGGTGGTGACCTGCAGGCCATGGTGAGCTGGGGGCTGTGGTGGAGCACAGTGCGGGGGAAGTGGTGAGCTCGGGGCCGTGGTGTCCTGAGAGCGCAGTGCAGGGGACAGCTCACCGCGGCCGCCAAGATCACTGCCACCTCTGCACTGAGCTCCCAGGGGCCAGACCCCCAGGTAGGGGGTAGAACACCTCTGGAGAACACGACTAGCCCTAAGAGAAGCCTAAACAGGGGCCGCGGGGCCTCATTAAGGCCTGGGCAGATGACCCACCAAAGGCAGATCCACACGCACCTCCCGGGCAGCCAGCTCAGAGCGGGGTGGAAGGCGATGTTTGCTGAGTCACAGCAGGGCCTGAGGCGGGGGCTCAAGTCCTCATGTCCCTGCTCCCACCCCAGACCAGGTGGAGCTCCCGGCTCCCAGTTGTTGTGGGTGTTCGGGAGTGAGCCAGTGAATATAGCTATCCTTTCACTCTTTCCAATAAATAAAAAGAAAGCTAAAAAAATGAAACCAACCCCCCGCGATCACACACACACAGGACACTCCATGTGGTATCAGGGTTCCATGTGGCACCTGCTGGGCTCGCTCTCAGGAAACCGGCCATCCCCCCCTCCCCAGGAAACCAGGGGTGCAGCCCTGCACCTGCTCCCGACTCTTCCCAGGGTGGCGTCTGCAGTCCCCGTTCATGGGCTCACCCACCACCACATCTGCCTCTGCCCTTCTCACCAGGACGGGGTTGTGACACAGCGGGCTCACCAGGACCCGGGCATCCTGGCCCTCATCTGGGAGCCTGGGCCACACTCCCCTCCTCCCCTTCCAGGGCATGGGCACCCCTCCCTTCCCAGCCCTCCAGGGGCCGGGCCTCACTAACCTCAGTGCCCGATAGGGCCAGACCCTGTGCCACTACTCGTCCTACTGGGCCTAGCCCTGCTCCCCTTTTTGCCCTCCAGGGCCGGGCCCTGCTCTTCTCAAAGCCCTCCAGAGCTGGACGCCAATCTTCTCCTCACCCTTCAGGGCCTGGGCCCCACTCCCTCCTTGCCCTCCAGGGCCTTGGCCCCCACCAATTGCACCTCGCCAAGGCCGGGCCCCTTCCCAATGCATCCCAACAGGGAAGGGCCACAATATCCTCAACACCCTATAGGGCCAGACCATGCTCCCCTCCTAGACCTCCAGGGCCTGGGCTCCACTCCAATTCTCACCCTCCAGGGCCTGGGTCGCACACCCCTCCTCACCCTCTATGGCCTGCGCCCCATTCCCCTCACCCTCCAGGACATGGGCCCCACTCCAATTCTCTCCCTCCAGGGCTCAGCCCTGCTCCCAACCTTGCAATCCAAGGTCAGACCCCACTCTCCTCCTCACACTTCAGGACCTGGGCCCTGCCCCCCACACTGCTCTCCAGGGCTGGGCCCCACTCCTCTCAAGGCACCCCAGGGCCAGACACTGCCCCCCTCCTCGCCCTCCAGGGCCTGGGCACGCTCTGCTCGCTGCCCTCCAGGGCTGGACCCTGCTTCCCCTCCTTGCCTTCCAGGGCCTGACACCACTGCCCTCAAGGCCCTCCAGGGCTGGATCCTGCTCCACTCCTAGACCTCCAGGGATTGGGCTCTACTCCCTACGCTGCCATCCATGGCCCAGCCCCACTCCCCTCAACGCCCTCCATGGCCGGACCCCACACCCCTCCTCACCCTCCAGGGCCTTGGCCCCATTCCCCTCCTTGCCCTCCAACGCCAGTGCCAGCTCTCCTCCTCACACTCCAGGGTTGACCTGACACTTTCTTGTTGAGAAAAATAAAGCAGAGGAAAACAGACAATATTGCAGGGAACCGAACCTTTTATTCTGTAACAGGGTTAGGTCCAGAAAGGTCTCTGGACCTTGGACAATCTCTGCTTTGATTTGGAAACATTTCTCATGGCTTGGTGAGGTCTCAACAGTGAGGCTGTGAGCATGAAGTGGCCTTTGTCCTTTGTCCTATAGACTGTGTCCTTTCGCGTATGTCCTATGTCTTGTGTCCTGTAGGTCCAAGGTCCAGAGACCTTTCTGGATCTAACCCTGTTACAGAATAAAAGGTTCGGTTCCCCGCAATATTATCTCTTTTCCTCTGCTTTATTTTTCTCAACAAGAAAGTGTCAATTCAACCAGTGGTGGGTGAGGAGGAGAGCAGGCACTGGACTTTGTCCTTTGTGACATAGGTCACAGGACACATGCTACAGGATGGAGGCCACAGGCTACAGGACATAGGCCAAAGGCTACAGTACACAGGACACAGGCTACAGGAGATAGGACAGAGGACACAGGACACAGGCTACAGGACACAGGGCATAGCCCAGACGACACAGGACACAGGATATAGGACACAGAATATGGAACCCAGGACACGGCCTATAGGACACAGGCTACGGGACACAGGTTGCAGGACACAGGACATAGGCGACAAGCTACAGGACACAGGACAGAGGCTACAGGACACAGGCTACACAATCTAGGACACAGGCCACAAGACACAGGACACTATCCTATAGCCAGTGTCCGGTGTCTTGTTCCCTCTCTCTTTCAGCCTGTGTCGTGTAGCCTGTATCCTGTGTCGTGTAGCCTGCAGCCTGTATCCTTTGTTCTGTGGTCTGTCTTGTGTCCCATAGCCTCTGTCCTGGATCCTCTGTCATGTGTCCTGTGTCCTATGTTGTGTAGCCTGTGTCCTGAATCTTGTACCCTGTGGCCTATGTACGCATCCTGAATCTTGTGGCCTCTGTCCTGTAGCCTGTGACCTCTGTCCCCTAGCCTGTGTCCTGTGTCCTGAGCCTGTGGCATGTAGTTTTTGTCCTAGTGCTGGTGTCCTCTTTGCTGTAGTCTGTGTCCTGTGTCCTGAAGCCCATTTCTTGTAGCCTGTGGACAATGTCCTGTAGTGTGTGTCCTGTGTCCTGTAGCCTGTTCTCTGAGCTCTGGGGCCTAGGTCCTGTAGCCTGTATCCTGTGATGTTTGTCATATGTTGTGTAGCCTGTGTCCTGTAATCTATGGCCTATGTCCTGTGGCCTATAGCCTGTAGCCTTTGGCCTTTTCCATGCAGGCTTTGTCCTGTGTCCTGTGGCCTCTGTCCTATAGCTGGTGTCCTTGTGTCTTGTTTCCTCGTTCCTTCAGCCTGTGTCAGTGTAGCTTGTGTCCTGTATCGAGTATGCTGTGTCCTGTAACCTGTGTCCTGTAGCTTGTAGTCTGTATTCCTTAACCAGTGTCCTGTATTCTGTGTCCTGTGTCCTTTGTTGTGTATCCTGTGTCCTGTAGCCCGGCTCCTGTAGCCTGTGGACTATGCCATGCAGCCTTTGTCCTGTGGCCTGTGGCCTTTGTCATATAACCTGTGTCCTGTGTCTTATTTCCTGTGTCCTTCATCCTGTGTCATGTAGCCTGCGTCCTCTGTCTTGTAGCCTATGGCCTATGTATGCATTGAGGATCCTGTGTCCTGTGTCCTGTAGCCTCTGTCGTGCGTCCTGTGTCCTGTGTCCTATGTCTTGTATCCTGTGTTCTAAATCCTGTGGCCTCTAGATGTAACCTATGTCCCATAGCCTGTGTTCTAGCCTGTGTCCTGGGTTCTGTGTTCTGTGTCCTGTATCCTGTGTCCTGTATCTTCTGGCCTATGCCCTGAATGCTGTAGCTTGTGTTCTATCTTGTGTAGCCTGTGTCCTGTAGCCTGTGTGCTGTAGCCTGTGTTCATGTCCTCAACCCTGTGTCCTGTGTTCTGTAGTCTGTGCTATATCCTGTAGCTGTGGCCTTTGTCCTGTGGCCAGTGTACTTTACACTTTGGCCTCTGTGCTTTGTCCTGTAGCCAGTGTCCTTGTCCTTTAGCCTGCTCATGTACCCTGATCCATTATCCTGTATCCTGAGCCCTTAGCCTGTCCCTGTGTCTTGTAGCCTGTGTCCTGTGTCCTATGTTGTTTAACATGAGTCCTGGCTCCTGTAGCCTGTAACCTCTGTCCTGTAGCTTTTGGCTCATGTCCTGTAGCCTGTAACCTGTGTCCAGTAGCCTGTGTCCTGTGTTCGGTATTCTGTGTCCTATGTCCTGTGTCCTGTGTTGTCTGGGCTATGTCCTGTGTCCTGTAGCCTGTGGCCTATGTGCTGTAGCCTGTGTCCTGTGTCCTATATTGTTTAGCCTTTGTCCTGGCTCCTGTAGCCTGTAACCTGTGTCCTGTAGCCTTTGGCTCGTGTCCTGTAGCCTGTAACCTGTGTCCAGTAGCCTGTGTCCTGTGTTCGGTATTCTGTGTCCTATGTCCTGTGTCCTGTGTCATCTGGGCTATGCCCTGTGTCCTGTAGCCTGTGGCCTATGTGCTGTAGCCTGTGTCCTGTGGCCTCTGTCCTGTGTCTTGAGTCCTGTAGCCTGTATCTTATGCCCTTGTTCTGGGTCCTGTAGCCTGTGTATTGTGTCCAGTAGTCTGTGATGTCGCAGGACACAGGCTACAGCACAGAGGCCACAGGCTACAGGACACAGGAACACAGTCTATAGGACAAGGGACACAGGCTACAGGACAGAGGCCACAGGACACAGGACACAGGACATAGCCCAGATGACACAGGACACAGGATATAGGACACAGAATATGGAACCCAGGACACAGCCTAGAGGACACAGGCTACGGGACACAGGTTGCAGGACATAGGACATAGGCAACAAGCTACAGGATACAGGACAGAGCCTACAGGAGACAGGACACAGGCCACAGGACAGTGGCTACAGGACACAGGCTACAGGACACTCTATCCTATAGCCAGTGTCCGGTGTCTTGTTCCCTCTCTCCTTCAGCCTGTGTCGTGTAGCCTGTGTCCAGTGTCGTGTAGCCTGCGGACTGTATCCTTTGTTCTGTAGCTCTGTCCTGTGTTTCATAGCCACTGTCCTAGACCCCCTATCCTGTGTCCTGTGTCCTATTTGTGTAGCCTGTATCCTGTGTCTTGTACCCTTTGGCCTATGTACGCATCCTGAGTCCTGTGGCTTCTGTCCTCTAGCTGGTGTCCTGTGTCCCCTAGCCTGTGTCCTGTGTCCTGAGCCTGTGGCCTGTAGTTTTTGTCCTAGTGCTGGTGTCCTCTTTGCTGTAGTCTGTGTCCTGTGTCCTGTAGCCCGTTTCTTGTAGCCTGTGGACAATGTCCTGTAGTGTGTATCCTGTGTCCTGTAGCCTGTTCTCTGAGCTCTGGGGCCTAGGTCCTGTGGCCGGTGGCCTGTGACCTTGGCCTTTGTCCTATGTCGTGCAGCCTGTGTCCTGTAGTCTGTGGCCTATGTCCTGTGGCCTATACCCTGTAGCATGTGTTCTTTGTCCTCAATTCTTTGTCCTATGTCCTGTAGCCAGTGGCCTTTGCCCTGCAGCCTTTGGCCTGTGTCCTGTGGCCTCTATCCTATAGCCAGTGGGCTGTGTCTTGTTCCCTCTTTCCTTCATTCTGTGTCGTGTAGCCTGTGTCCTGTGTCGTGTATTCTATGTCGTGTATCCTGTGTCCCATAGCCTGTGTCCCGTACCTGTGTCCTGTGTAATGTGTCCTGCAGCCTGTGTCATGTGCCCTGTTTCCTGTAGTCTGTATCCTTTAACCAGTGTCCTGTAATCTGTGCCCTGTGTCCTATGTTGTGTATCCTCTGTCCTGTAGCCCATCTCCTGTAGCCTGTGGACTATGCCCTGCAGCCTTTCCTGTGTCCTGTGTCCTCTGTCCTATAGCCTGTGTCCTGTGTCTTGTTTCCTGTGTCCTTCAGCCTGTGTCATGCAGCCTGCATCCTCTGTGTTGCAGCCTGTGGCCTATGTATCCATTGAGTATCCTGTGTCCTGTCCTGTAGCCTCTGTCCTGTGTCCTGTGTCCTGTGTCCTATGTCTTGTATCCTGTGTTCTAAACCCTATGGCCTACAGTGTGTAACCTATGTCCCTTAGCCTGTGTTCTAGCCTGTGTCCAGGGTTCTGTGTTCTGTGTCCTGTATCCTGTGTCCTGTGTCCCTCTGGCCTATGCCCTGAAAGCTGTAGCTTGTGTTCTATCTTGTGTAGCCTGTATCCTGTAGCCTGTGTGCTGCAGCCTGTGTCCATGTCCTCTACCCTGTGTCCTGTGTTCTGTAGTCTGTGTCCTATATTCTATAGCTGTGCCCTTTGTCCTGTGGCCAGTGTGCTGTACACTGAGGCTCAGTCCTGTGACCTGTAGCCAGTGTCCTCGTCCTTTAGCCTTTGTCCTGTGTCCTGTAGCCTGGTCCTGTGTCCTGTATCCTGAGCCCTGTATCCTGTCCCTGTGTCCTATAGCCTGTGTCCTGTGTCCTATATTGTTTAGCCTTTGTCCTGTCTCCTGTAGCCTGTAACCTGTGTCCTGTAGCCTGTGGACTATATCCTGGAGCCTGTAACCTGAATCCCATAGCCTGTGTCCTGTGTTCAAAATTCTGTGTCCTATATCCTGTGTCCTGTGTCATCTGGGCTATGTCCTGTGGTCTGTAGCCTGTGGCCTAATTCCTGTGTATTGTGGACTATATCCTGTATCATGTAACCTGTGTCCCATAGCCTGTGTCCTGTGTTCGGTATTCTGTGTCCTATATCCTGTGTCCTGTGTCATCTGGGCTATGCCCTGTGTCCTGTAGCCTGTGGTCTCTGTGCTGTAGCCTGTGTCCTTTGGCCTATGTCCTGTGTCTTGAGTCCTATAGCCTGTGTCTTATGTCCTGTGTTCTGGGTCCTGTAACCTGTGTATTGTGTCCAGTAGTCTGTGATGTCACAGGACAGAGGCCACAGGCTACAGGACACAGGACCAAGGCTACAGGACAGAGGACACAGGCTACAGGACAAAGGACATAGCCCAGATGACACAAGACACAGGATATAGGACACAGAATATGGAACCAGGACACAGCCTAGAGGACACAGGCTACGGGACACAGGATGCAGGACACAAGACATAGGCGACAAGCTACAGGACACAGGACAGAGGCTACAGGACACAGGACACAGGCTACACAATCTAGGACACAGGCCACAGGCCACAGGACAATGGCTATGGGACACAGGCTACAGGACACTCTATCCTATAACCAGTGTCCGGTGTCTTGTTCCCTCTTTCCTTCAGCCTGTGTCGTGTAGCCTGATTCCTGTGTCATGTAGCCTGTGGCCTGTATCCTTTGATCTGTAGCTCTGTCCTGTGTCCCATAGCCTCTGTCCTGAGCCTCTGTCCTGTGACCTGTGTCCTATGTATATAGCCTGTGTCCTGAGTCCTGTAGCCTGTCCCTATGTCCTGTAGCCTGTGTCCTGTGTCCTATGTTTTTTAGCCTTTGTCCTGTCTCCTGTAGCCTGTAACCTGTGTCCTGTAGCCTTTGGCCCATGTCCTGAGCCTGTAACCTGTGTCCTGTATCATGTGTCCTGTGTTCGGTATTCTGTGTCTTATATCCCTTGTCCTGTGTTATCTGGGCTATGTCCTGTGTCCTGTAGCCTGTGGCCTCTGTGCTGTAGCCTGTGTCCTGTGGCCTATGTCCTGTGTCTTGTGTCCCATAGACTCTATCTTATGTCCTGTGTTCTGTGTCATGTAGCCTGTGTCCTGTGTCCCATAGCCTGATTTCTAGCCTGTGTCCTTGGTTCTGTATTCTGTGTCCTCTATCCTGTGTCCTGTTTCCTCTGGCCTATGCCCTGAATCCTGTAGCCTGTGGCCTGTGACCTGTGGCCTCTGTCCTGTGTCCTGTAACCTGTGTTCTGTAGCCATATCCAATATCCTGCACCACAGCATACAGCACACCGGCCACAGGACAAAGGCCACAGCTACAGGACATAGGCCACGGACTACAGGACACAGGCTACACAACACAAGACAGAGGCCACAGGTCACAGGCCACAGGACATAGGATCCAGAGCACAGGGCACAGGCTACAGGACACAGGACACAGACTACAGGACATTGTCCACAGGCTACAAGAAACCAGCTTCAGTACACAGGATATAAGCTACTATAAAGAGACACCAGCTTTAGGACAAAGACTACAGGACACAGGCTATAGGACACAGGACACAGGACACAGACTACAGGACACTCGACACAGGCTCAGGACACAGGACACAGGCTACTACAAAGAGACACCAGCTTTAGGACAAAGACTACAGGCCACAGGCTATAGGACACATGACACAGGCTCAGGACACAGGCTCAGGACACTTGACACAGGCTCAATACACGGGACACAGGCTAGGGGACATAGGACACCAGCTAGAGGACAGAGACCACAGGACACAGGTTGCATACATAGGCCACAGGCTACAAGACACTGGACACAGGCTACACAACATAGGACACGGGACACAGGACTGAGGCTACAGGACACAGAATATGGAACACATGACACAGCTACAGGACACAGATCACAGGATACAAGACATGGGACACAGAGGATAGGATATAGCCTATAGGACAAAGGACAAAGGAAACAGACTATCAGACATAATACAAAGGCTACAGGACACTGAACACAGGACATAAGACACAGGCTACAGGACACAAGACACAGGATATGGGCCACAGGAAATAAGCTACAGGACACAAGACACAGGCAACATGACACAGGCTAAAGGACAGAGGGAACAAGACACAGGACACCAGCTATAGGACAGAGGCAACACTACACTGGACACAGGACATAGGCCACAGGACACATGCAGAAAGAAACAGGCCAGTGGACACAGGACACAGGACAAAGGACACAGGCTATAGGACACATGCTATAGGACACAGGCAATGGGACACTGTCTACAGGACAAGGACACAGGCCACATGAAAAGGCTAATGGACATAGGACACAGGATAGAGGACACAGGCTACAGCACACAAGCTACACTCTATAGGACAAGCTATAGGTCACAAGTTATAGGAAAGAAGACAGAAGCCACAGGACACACACACTAGCCACAAAACAGGACACAGGACACAGGCTACAGGACACAGGCTGTAGAACATAGGACACAGGATACAGGCCACAGGACACACGCCTACAACACAACACACAGGCTACAAGATACAGGCTACACAACACAGAACACAGGCGAAAGGACTCAGGCTACAGGACACAGGACAGATTTCAGGACACAGGTCACAGGCCACAGGACATAGGCTCCAGAGCACAGGCAGGGCCCTGGCCACGCTCCAGTGACATGCCCCTCTCTCCTCCTTGCCCTCCAGGGCCATGATCCCCTCAGGCAGGGCCCTGGCCACCCTCTAGGGCTGGGCTCCTTCTCCTCTCCATGCCCTACAGAGCCAGGCCCTGCTCCCTTCAGTTGTGGCACTAGACACCCAGCAGGGCTGCCCCACTCTCCTTGTCCTCCAGGGCCTGGGCCCCACTCCCCTAGTTGCCCACCAGGGCCTGGGCCCAGCTCCCATTGCTGTCCTTCAGGGCCAGGCCCTGCTCCCCTCACCACATTCCAGAGCTGGGCCCCAATCCCCTCCTCAGCCTGCAGGGTCGGGCCCTTCTCCCCTCAGGCCCGGCCCTGGCCTCCCTCCAGGGCCAAACTCTGCTCCCCTCCTCACCTCCAGGGCCAGTGTTCCCCTCCTCATGCTCCAGGGCTGGCACTGTCGCTCCCCGTCTTCATGGAGGAACGACACAGGACCCTGCGCTGTTCTTTTGTCTGCTCGGCCCTCCCCGGGTTTGCTGCTGGTTCTTCCCGGGGTGGCTACCGACCCTTCCACCTCCGTGGAAGGGCGGTTCCCCCTGCCACATTCCCCACTTCCGCGGGGGAGCGGCACACCGCCGGCCGGCTCTCTCGGGGGCTGCACAGGTGTTCCTTCAGATAGATGTTCCCCTTAGATGTTCCTGGTGCATGTTGTCTCTCTCCTCCTTTATAGTCCTCTTCCACCAATCCCAACTCTGCTACCCACATGCCGAGTACGCTGCTCTCCTCCAATCAGGAGCAAGATCAGCTCCTGCAGCTCAGTCAATCAAGTTGGTGAGAGGCAGCTGGGTAGAAGCTGTTTGCTCCTCTCCCAGCGCCATATTGTGGAGAGCAGATGTATAGAATAAGTATTAATTCCAGTAACAGTATAGTCCGAGTTGCTCCCCACAGGCACCAATCTCCTCCTCGCACTCTTGGTCTGGCTCTGCTCCCCTCCTCCCCATCCACAGCCAGGCCCTTCTCCCCACAGGCCCATCCCTGTCCTCCCTCCAGAGCCAGACCCCGCTTCCCTCCACACCTTCAGGGCCAGCCCCTGCTCCGCTCCTGGCCTTCCAGCGCCTGGGTCCCGCACCTCTCCTTGCCCTGCAGAACCTGGGACCCACTCCAACATTCACACTCCAGAGCCTGGGCCCCACTTCAGGGCTTCCCTACAGGGACAGGCCACACTACCCTCAACACCCTCCATGGCCGGGCCCTGCTTGCCTCCTCGCCCTCCAAGGTTGGGCCCACTCTGCTCGCCACCTTCCAGGACTGGACCCTGCTCCCCACCTTGAAAACAGAGCCTGGGCCCAGCTCCACTCACTGCCCTCCAAGGCTGGACCCTGTTCCCCTCCTCACCCTCCAGGGCCAGACCCTACTCTCCTCCTCGCCCTCCAGAGCTGGGCACCTCTCTCCTCTTCCCCCTCCAGGGCTGGGCCCCTCTCAGCACGCTGCTCTCTTGGGCCAGGCCCCACTAACCTCAACACCATCAGGGCCAAACCCTGCTCCCCTCCTTGTCCTCCACGACCTGGCCCAGCTGCCCTCCTCACCCTCCAGGCCTTACCCTGCTCACCTCTTACCTTAAGCGGCTGGGCCCGGCTCCCATTGCTGCCAATAAGTCACTGGTGTCACTCGGTGGTCCCTAGCAGCCACTGCCTCCATCTTTGTGCGCCCCTGCTGTCACTGCAGCATTGGGCAGCCCGCACGGTTCCCCAGCACCTGCCACTTCATGGCCTGCCTTGGCTGCCTCCTTCTGCTTCCTCAGGCACACCGAGTGAGGCCACATCTTTATGCCCCAGTGCAGCCACCAGGAGCCACCCGTCATGGGGCCCCCAGCACGGTCCCCAGCAGCCTCCCTAGTGATTGCCCGAGGACTCTTCCTACTTCTTCTTGGGCTCCCCTGTGGTTATCTGGGCCCTCTTGTAACTCCCAGGCCCCACCACACGGCCCCCAGGCCCCACCAGCTCCTTCCCTGGGCACTCCCACTGCCACTGAATCACTAGGTCACCACGTGGACCCCAGAAGCTGCCTCCTCCTTCCTCACCCCCCCACAGCAGCTGAGTTTTAGGACCCCCCCCATTCTCCCAGGAGTCGCTGAGTCTTTGAGGTTCGCGCTGCCCCTAGCAGTCATTGCCTCTGTCCTCTGGCACTCCTGCTGTCCCTGCATCATGTCTGAACTTGGAAATGAGGCTCTACAAAGGGGGTCTCAACTAACTCTCTTGTGGCCAAAGTTTGAGGGTGGGCAAGTGCAGAACTGTTGAATGTGCAGAGGGGGAACGTGGGTGTGGCCTGAGGATAGAAATTTTCCCTGGGAGTCACCTTCAGGAGCATGGCTCTGGGAAGGAATGACTTCCAACATGTTCTTTGCCAAAGAAAACCTGAGCTGGAAAACGGAAACCATGGGCACGAGTTAAGGTGCCAGGTGACTTCTTCCCAGACATGTGGGTCCTGAGTTCTTTGGGGCACACAAGAAGGCAGCTCAATGGGAGAGGCCACCTCGGTCTGCAATGCAGGCTCCTCAGTTCAGATCTAGGAGGTCTAAGTTGTCGCAGGAGTTTCTCATCCAGGGACCTGGGAACTTGGGCTTGGAGAAGGAAATCAGGGTGAGAAGACTTCCCAGGGCAGAGAGCCACCTGAGCACAGAGTGCAGGCAATAATCAAAGACAGAATAAAGTGGGAGGAGGACAAAGAGTGTCATCCAACGTGGGCCCTGTATCTTACAACCAGCATCCCACACCAATCGCTTTGAACTGGCTCAGAGACCTGGGGAATCTAAAAGATAAATGACCATGTAGAAGATCAGGGGTTTTCCAAACACCAGAGGAACAGTCTGCCTTACTCACCTTTCCCATGGAGCTGAGTCCATCCACGTCATGGCACCAACGATGCTGCAGGAAGTTCAAGTCCATTCTTTCTCTCACATAATCCCAACACGGATCATGAGGGTGGGGGAGAAAAAGCAAAAGTAGGTTTTAGTGAGAAAATCATACTCTTGCAAGCCAGAAGGGGGACTAAGGGAGGGGTCCAATAAGGCCTGGGAACACGGAAGTTTAACTAGCGAGTGATGTTCATGGATTAATCTTCTAAACAAAATCCAACACCATGTTCTTCTATCTTAGGAAAAGGTCATGACCCCTAACCTTGAAAACGTGTTTCCTTACTGGCCATTTGAATAATGTAACACTATATCTTCCCTCTCTGCCTGCAGTTTCTCTTACTGCCTATCACCTGCCCTCCTCCCAGACACGAGTCCCTGACTACCCTTCATTGCTTCACTCCTCAGGGAAGGGCCCCTCCTCGGGGGCATTTCCCAAGAGGCTACTGAGAGGCCACTTTCCTCTCTGGGCTCAAGGGCTTTCCTCTGGGGCTGGCAGGACACAACACATCCAGCCGAAGCATTGGATGATCCTCCTGCCAATCCCCAGGCGCCCCTTGCCCTTTCTGGCCTGCGTGTCTGAAGTCCCTGCCTCCTGCTCCTCCTCCTGCTGCTGCATTCCTGGGATGCTCTGTTCCTCTGAGGCACCCTGGGAGCAGCTCCTGACTTCTCCATCAGCCTCACTGCTGTTGGTGCTCAGTGTGGTGGAGAGAGAGGTCAGAGCATCCTGGCTGAGGACTGCACAGACAGCGGGGCTCCTTGTCCACACGGCCCGTTGAGGACTGTCTGTCCTGCAGGACTCACTGCTGCTCACACTGGGAGTCCCACCGCAAGGAGTCTGCCCCGACTGGTCTCCTGCAAGCACCAGTGGTTGTGAGCTGAGAGCGACACACTCACGGGCTCTGCTGTTGCAGCCTGAGTGTCCCTGGAGGCACTGGAGAACGGGACAGCTCTGAGCACCAGGGATGGCCTGAGGCGTGGGCTTCCCTTTGCTGTGATCCCACTGAAGTCCTGGGCACAAGGCACTGGCTGGGAGCCTGGGTGGCAGGGAGCCGGCTTGATGGCCCAGCTGGAATCCCAGGTCCTCCAGGGAGCTTAGAGCTTCAGGACCCTGAGGAGGTACTGCAGGCTCCACTTGGCTCCACCCATGTATTTCTGGGATGCTGAAGCCCTGCTGTTGGGAGATCCCCCAGCGTGGCACAGGGGGCAAGGGGTCATCCCATTCATGAAGCCACAGTGGAGGGCAGAGGCCCCATGGGAATTCCCAGACTTCCTGCTCCTGGGGAAGAAACAGAAACTCGTCACTGGTTCCAGCTGCTCCATGTCCTGCATGGAGCCAGGGGTGGCCCATGATGTCTGCCACTGTGGGCCTGGCCTCAGGGTCCCGGGTCAGTAAGCTGTCCACCAGGTTACACAGCTCTGGGTTTCCATAGTGGGGGATTCTGTAGTATCCAGACAGGATGGCTGCCCGCAGCTCCACAAAATCCTCTCCAACAAAAGGCAGTGAGCCTGCCACCATGGCATACAGGATCACGCCCACACTCCAGGCATCAGCCTTGTACCCGCAGAACTCCTCACCTAAGAATTCCTCGGGCGCACAGTAGGCAAAGGTCCCGCACAGACTCTTCAGGCGCTCTCCACCAGCCAGTTTGCAGCTGAGACCAAAATCGCTCAACTTAATGTTTAGGTGGGCGTCGAGAAGCAGGTTTTCTAACTTTAAATCCCTGTGCACCACGTGCTGCGAATGGCAGTAATGCACAGCAGATAGAATTTGTTTAAATAGCTGACGAATCTCTCCATCCAGCAGGTACCCTCGTTCTACCATGTAACATCTAAGGTCCCCCCTGACTGCGTATTCCATGAAAATGTAGCCCCTCTCTGTGGTGTGCCTGGCCTGCAGTAGTTGAATGATGTGAGGGTGATGCAGCCCCTTCATTATTTCTGCTTCTGTGCACAACTGCTGGAAGCTGCAGGAGTGCTGGCCACCATTCTCCACAACCTTCACAGCCACCTGGGTCCTGCTTTCCCAATGATAGGCCAGGACCACCAGCCCAAAACCGCCCTGGCCGAGGACCCTGAGGACCTGGTACCCATCCAGGACCTCCTCCTCACTGCTGAAGGCGGTGAGGCCTTCCATGGTGGGATCCCCACCCCCACCCCCCCACCCTGCACTCTGACACTGGGAACTCTTACTAGTCACCTAAAGTAATAACAAAAACTGGGAAACAAATAGAAATCAAACAAGCTAAATGGTAACCAAAATTAACAACTCAATATGCTAATATTTCTACTAGATAATGCTAACTCTATGAACTATGGTATACTAATCACTAACACTGTAGGAAAATTAAGAATTAAAAGTTATAAAACACACTGAATACTAAAAATGGTGAAGGAAAGCAACACCAACTACGGTAACTATGGTAACAATGCTAATCAATAAGTCTTATAACAGTCTTATCTAAATCAAAGGATCAAAAAATGAGAAAACAGTCAGAAAACGAGGAAACACAATGAACACAGCATCAAGTACATTTAGCCTGTGAAAGAAAAAAACAAAAAATAAATAAATAAATATTTAAAGAAAATACACAAGCACACAATGTAAAAATGGGAGGGGGAGAGAAAATGAAAAAATAGCAAAAAAAAAAAAAAGAAGAAAAACTAAAAGAACCACTACGGTAAGGAGAACTAATAGACGAGACAAAACAACAACACAAGAGACAGGACAAGGGAAAACCAGTGATGTCGTCCAATCCTTCAGGCAGTCTCCACAGAGCTTCCTGGGCCAACTGACCAGAACCGAGCCCAAGCAGGGAACTGTTGAGGCAGTTGGAATGACATCACAATGGCCCCCCTGAGGGCAGAGGAGGCTCTAGACCAATCACAGCTGGGGACACACCAGGCTGGTTTTCTCAAGAAACTTTCTACTTGGTTAAAGAGAAAGGACCCCAAAAGCTTTTGGCTTAAGTTGGTGGTGGAGATCGGTATTTAGGATTTGATAAATTAGCACAGTCCTCTTCAGGCTTTTTCTATTGTTTCAATACACGTATAGAAGCACTGATCCTCCCAGTCTCTATTTCCACCCCCATTCCCACCCCCTTTTTCATTTCCTCTTGGTTCCTGTCCATTAAAGACGTCCAGTAAGAGGAGTCAACTGCTCATCTTAGCCCAGGCAGGCTCAGCTCATTGTCCCAAAAGATTTCCAAGCTCTGCCATGGCTTGAACAGATGGTGGCTCCCTCACTCATGTGTACGTTCACTCACACACATATGTACTTGTATGTTCAAAATCAAAAATAGAGGCATAAAGGTGTCCCTTTAGAGGAATTGAGCATTTGCAAACTGAGTTCTGGTGGTGCTGCCCACCATCAGCCTGCTGCTCTGTTTGTCTGCTGAAGGTGAAACACTCAGAGCACACATGGAGAGAATAGAAACAATGTTACTGGAGATGCTGCACAAACAAGCCAGGCTTCCTTCCCCATAGAACAGCAGGTTACAGCCTCAGCCTCACTCAGCTCCTGTCTTCTTCCTGAGGGAGGATTCCTGGGGATGGTAACGGACCTATTGTCGCTCCTCCAGGCTCCTGAGTTCTTGCAACGCAGACTGTGAAAGGTGTTTATGATATCTTCAAAATTAAAGTGGTGTTGTTTCCACTCTTGCTCTCTCCATCCCTTTCTCTCCCCTTCCCTCCATTTCTCCCTGCTGAAACTGTGTCTTTCAAATAGATTAATTACAGTTTTAAAAAACTAGTAAAAGTGTCAATTATTCAGAACCTAGAAGTCAAGCCACATATCTACAGGAAAGTGACATTTAACAAGGTCTTACGAACACATATTGGAAAATGAATAGTTTTCTCAATAAAATCCCATTGGGAAAATTGAATGCCCACATGCAGAATGAAACTAGACCCTGTCTCTCAACACACACAAAAAAATCAACCCAAAATGGATCAAGATCTAAATCTGAGTCCTGGAACTATGAGATAATAGAAAAAAGCATACAAAAAGCTTCAGGGCCGGCCCCCACTCTCCTCCTCACCCTCCAGGGCCAGGCCCCACTGCCCTCAAATCCCTCCAGGGTTGGACCCTGAACCACTCCTCACCCTCCTGGGCCTGGCCCTGCTCCCCTCCTTGCACTCCAGGGCTGGGCCCCACTGCCCTCCTTGCCCCTCAGGGCCAGGGCCCACTCTCTTCCTCGCCTCCAGGGCCTGGGCCCTGCTCCCCTCCTCAGAGTCCAAGGCCTGGGTCCTGCTCCCCTCCTCGCCCTCCAGGGCCGGGCCCCGCTCCCATCACAGCCCTCCAGGGCTAGGCCCACTGCCCTCACTGCCCTATAGGGCCGAACCCTGCTCCACTCTCACCCTCCTGGGCCTGGTCCTGCTCCCATTTTTGCCCTCCAGGGTCAGGTCCTACTCTGCTCACAGACCTCCAGAGATGGACCCTGCTCCCCTCCTCGCTCCCCAGGTCCTGGGCCCACTGTCCTCCTCCCCACCTAGGGCCTGGGCCCCTCTCCCTCTTCACCCTCTAAGGCCAGGCCTGGCTCCCCTCCTCACCCTCCACAGCCTGGGCCCTGCTCCCTCCTTGCCCTCTAAGACCAGGCCCTGCTCCCCTCCTCACCCTCCAGGGCCTCGCCCAGCTCCCCACGCTACCCTTCAGGTCCAGGCCACACTCCCCTCACTGCCTTCCAGGGCCGGGCCCCAATACACTCATTGCCCTCCAGTGCTGGACCCTGCTCTCCTCCTCGCCCTCCAGGGCCTGGGCCCCACTCCAATCCTCACCCTCCAGGGCCAGACACTGCTCCCCTCCTCGCCCTCCAGGGACAGGCCTGCTCCCCTCAGGTGCGTCCCTGGCCTCCCCCCTTCTCACTCCCCAGGGCCAGTGCCTGCTCTCCTCCTTACCTTCTAGGGCTTGGGCCCCGATCTGCACGCGGCCCTCAGGGCCGGGCCCCACTGCCATGAACATCATCCAGGGCCGGACTCCTCTCCACTCCTCGCCCCCCTTGGTCAGGCCCTGCTCCACTCCTTGGCCTCCAGAGCCGGGCCCCACTCCCCTCAGGCATGGCCTTGCCCACCCTCCATGGCTGGGCCCCTGCTCCTCTCCATGCCATAAAGAACCGGGCCCTGTTCCCCTCAGGCCGCTCCCCTACTTACACTGCAGAGTTGGGCCCTTTTCCCCTCAGGCGTGGCCATAGCCTCCCTCCAGGGCTGCGCCCCTGCTCCTCTCCGTGTCCTACAGAGCTGGGCCTTGCTCCCCTCGGGTGCAGCACTAGCCACCCACCAGGGCTGGGCCCCACTCCGCTCCTTGTCCTCCAGGGCCTGGGCCCTACTCCCCTCCTCGCCCTCCAGGGCCAGGCCCCACTCCCCATGCTGCCCTCCTGGGCCAGGCCCACTGCCCTTAATGCCCTCTAGGGCTGGACCCTGCTCCACTCCTCACCCTCCAAGGCCTGGGCACAGCTCCCTTCAGGCAGGGCCCTGGCCCAGCTCCCCTGAGGCAGGGCCCTGGCTGCCCTCCAGGACTGGGCCCCTGTTCCTCTCTGGGCCCTACATAGCTAGGCCTTGCTCCCCTCAGGCATGGCACTAGCCACCCACCAGGGATGCCCCACTCCTCTCCTTGTCAACAATGGCCTGGGCCCCACTCCCCTCCTTGCCCACCAGGGCCTGGGCCCAGCACCTATTGCTGCCCTTCAGGGCCAGGCCCTGCTCCCCTCACCACCCTCCAGGGCTGGACCCCACTCCTCTCCTCACCCTCCAGGGCCTGGGCCCAGCTCCCCACACTGCCCTCCAGGTCCAGGCCCCACTCACCACGCTGCCCTCCAGGGCTGGGCCCATTAACCTCAATACTCTCCAAGTCCAGACCCTGCTCCCCTCCTTGCCCTCCAGAGCCAGGCCCTGCTCCCCTCAGGCCCATCCCTGGCCTCCCTCCAGGGCCAGACCCTGCTCCCCTCCTCACCCTACAGGGCCTGAGCCCTCTCCCCTCACCAACCTCACCTGTGGCCTCTGTCCTATAGCCAGTGTCCTGTGTCTCATTTCCTGTGTCCTGCAGCCTCTGTCCTGTAGCCTGTGGCCTATGTCCTGTAGCCTGTGTCCTGTCTCCTATGTCCTGTGTCTTGTGTCCCATAGCCTGTGTCTTATGTCCTGTGTTCTGTAGCCTGTGTATTGTGTCCAGTAGTCTGTTTCCTTTGTCCTTTGTCCTTTGTCCCATAGCCTATGTCGTTTTGCCTGTGTCTTACGTCCTGTATCCTGTGTGCTGTGTCCTGTAGCTGTGGCCTATGTCCCATAGCCTGTGCTCTATAGCCTCTGTCCTGCATCCTATGTCCTGTGTCCTATGTCTTGTATCCTGTGTTCTATATCCTGTGGCCTGTAGCATGTAACCTATGTCCCGTTGCCTGTGTTCTAGCCTGTGTCCTGTGTTCTGTATTCTGTGTCCTATATCCTGTGTCCTGTGTCCTCTGGCCTATGTCCTGAATCCTGTAGCCTGTGTCCTGTAGCCTGTTGCTTCTGTCCTGTGGCCAGTGTGTTGTGTCCTATTGCCTTAGGTTTGTGTCCTGTAGGCTGTGTCCTGTAGTCTTTGTCCTATGTCCTGTAGCCTGTGTCCTGTTTCCTGTGTCCTCGATCCTGTTCGTGTAGCCTGTGTCCTGTGTCCTGTGTCCTGTAGCTGCAGGACATAGGCCACAGGCTACAGGAGATGGGCTACAGGACACAGGATACACAACATAGGACACAGGACACACACAAAAAGAAACAGGCCAGAGGACACAGGACACAGATTACAGCACAGAGGCTACAGAATACATGCTACAGGACACAGGGACAAGCTACAGGACACATGTTATAGGGCACAGGCAACAAACACTGGCTATAGGACAAGGACACAGGCCACACGGACAGGCTAACGACACAGGACACAGGATAGAAGACACAGGCTACAGGACACGGGCTACATTACAAAGGACAAACTATAGGTCACAGGCTATAGGAAAAAAGACAGGCTGCTGGTCTTGCCGTGTGGCAGGGGAGGGAAAGGGGATTGATTCTCCAGTACAGGATGGGCCAGCAGACTGACAAATTCTGCAGGCAGGAGGTGCAAAGATAAGGCTTGGGGGTGCTTGGTTGGGGCACTGACAGTACGTGCTTTTCTGGACCAGCCTCCAGCCTACCTCTCCAGCCTATTTCCCACTACCCACTGACCAAGTGCCCTGGGCTGGTCTGCTTTCCTGAGTGAATGATATGTGACAACCCCTAACTCCCTGCATGCCTTCCAACGGTAAATTTCAGTCCATCCTCTGCATGGCTGGCACACCCCCTCAAGGTTCTTGGAATCTCTGCTAAAATTCTGTTTGCCAAACCAGGCCCCACATGGCAAAACACCCCTTCCACGTGGTAGGAATGCCAAGGCTGTGTTTTCCGTGGGGCCTCGATGGTTCCTGCTATGTTCCCAAGCAGCAGCAGCCCTCTCAGGCCTCTGCAGGACTCTGCTAGCCCTTGCCCCCTCTCTGTGGCATCTGTTTGTGACTGTGATACACTTCTGCTGCTCTTAGCTCTTCTACCAGGCTCCTGGGTATCAGCAGGTAAGTCTATCTTTGCACAAATGAAGGACTCAGCAGACATCTGCCAGCCGTGCTTTGCCCAGATTCTACTCTCAAATGGAATTGTGGACAGAGGGGAAGTGGGGCAAAGGCATCTAAGTCTGATGAGACCGAATTCCAGGACCAAGGAAGCCTGTCCCCAGAGGAATTCTTACCTGTCATGTCACATGCTTACCAGCAGATGGCAGCAGTCTCCTACCATCTTTGAGGAATTCCTACTACTCGTTGACTACTTACTGGCTGATTCAGGGGAAAGTGCATTCCAGGAGAGCTTAGGGAAGACCTACTAGAGTTACAGGATCATGTGACATCACTGGGGGAGGAGCTGGAGAAGGGAAGCCTGAGCTGTCTTCAGAGGGTACATTCTGTGGTGTGGATGCGCTCCATCCCCTAAGGCAGGGGTGCAGAACATCTGGGCCGTGGGCCCCTGCAGGTCCCTGAGGTTATCTTGTCTCAGAATCCAAGAAATCTATAGCAGGTTCATCTGTAAGCTGGTAATTCTGTATAGCCCACAGATGATGTCATAAATATCCAAATTGCCTTTGGCAGAAAAAAAAAGGTTCCCCACGCCTGTCCTCAGAGGTGTGGGGACCTTTCTGAGGAGAGGCCTGGTAAAAGGTGGTTAGGTTACTGGGTGCTGCCTTTTGAAGGGATTAGTGGAGTTCTCACAAGTTGCTGGCTAGTCCCTGGGAGAATGGGCTGTCATAAAAAGACTGGGCCCTCAGGCACAGGAAACCTCGGATGGAGGCAGTTTCTGCATCCTGCGGAGAAGCCACCCCCTGCTGGAACCTTGCCTTGACTCCACTTCCCAACGATGCAGCCAGAATGATCATCACCCAGTCCCCCCTAACAGATGTTAGGGTCTGTTCTTGTTGAGGAAGGAATGTGAGGCGTCAGATGGTTAAATAGGCAGTCTGGAAATTGAGGGTGGAAAATGTTCCCCAAAAAAGTTATGCTTAGCAAGGTCAGAAGTGCCTGCCTGCCCACTCCTTGAGAGCTTCCAATCTTATCATGAGATTAGCAATAGCCCCCAGTTTATTATAAAAACAAATTAGGTATCCCACCCTTGCGATGAGCAAGCCAAACAGGATAAAGGATTGCAAATCATATCTTTTGATGGGTTTTGTCACCGCCTTGTAACTAAATGTCAATCAA